AAACAACTACTCATTTTGAAAGCTTTTTATGTGAAATGGTGATTTCGCGTGGATGAGACTTTTTGCAGGAAAACAAACGCGAATTTTTATAGGTTTTTGATTTTCCCATGGTCTCTACACTTGCAATAAGAACAGCAGTCATTGTGAGCTATATCTTTGTGCAAAAATCTCGTCAAATGCTCCGGTAAAACCTTGGCAAGTTAATCATTGACGCAACCAATACTTTTTGGCGCCATTTTTATAAAGTAATGGACTTTTGATCACTTTTTGGGCCTAAGTTCATGGCTTGCACATTTACTTGGCATAAACATTCACGACTCTACAAAAAGTGGAATTACGGACCCAATTTTGCGACCCAAATGCAAAGTGGATCCGTTTGGCGCGCAGTTTTAAAGGGATCCACTCAACGAATCTGCTCGTGCTTTTGCGTGTTGGACTTTCATGCGGGTAGCATGCGCTATGCAAAATTTGAGCCCAGGACGTTGGCTGGAACTCGCGCTATGATTTTCGTGGCAGTGTGGCCCTAAAGAGGGCCGTTGGGTCACAGTTATTTTCCCTAAAGAGGACCGTTGGGTTAGAGCTTTTCAGTTATCCGAAGTCGTCATGAAGATTTGCTCTATCGTAGAAAGTGCTGAGGCGTATATGCGTCCATGTCGGTGATGGCCTCCAGGTGCTCGCAGTGTGCGACGGCGACTTCCTAAAAGTAAATTATATAGAATATGCTCTCAATACTTTCTTTTGCGTTTATGCTTAATTTCCTTTTCAGTTTCAGCAAAAAAAATCAAGACCCAAAAGTGAAGGTGGTCACCCTGTACCAGCTCAACAATGAAGGTGGGCGGAGAATCCCCTCCGACTATCGCACCTCTGGCAGCGTTAAGCCTCAACGTAAAGCTCGAGAGATCCTTCTTTAATCCAACAAGCGTTTTTAGTTGGGCTACTTTTAGTAACCTGTACCAGTTCTTTCAGGCAATTCCAAAGTCAACTCTCACAGAATTTTTGAGGAAATGATCTTTCCAAACACAATTTTTACCCTTTTGGACAGCACTAAACGCTGATTTCAATCTGTCGTCGCCATCTGCTGTACGTTTCCAAGCGGGAGTTTGTAAGCGTTGTTGAGTGGCAAACAGTGTTTTTGAGTCGCAATCAAAGCGCGATTGTCACAAACTATACAGAAGTGTCATATGTCCTTCTATTAGGTTGTCCGGAAATTAATGCCCGTTTTGAATTTCAACCGCAATAAGTCGTACACTTCTCATTTCTAAATAGGTTGCAAGGTACCATTCGATAGAGGAAAGCAAGCTCTACAAGATGGCTGTCTTGCTTTTGCAACAGCTCTCACACACCTCGAGTTTCGAGCCAAAAACTAAAAAGACTCAGCAGCCCGAAAAATCGAAAAAACTCGTAACTCAGTTCATAAAAATCCTACAAAAATTCCTACTTGCTCACGTAAACACTATCCATATAACACATCTATATTCGCTTTTGCCGTATTTTTTTCTCTGTTAGAAACCAAGAAAACGGAAATTTTCCTGCATTTGCCGAAGTGATGCTGAGCCATCCCCACATAGGTAGTTGTACACCACAAGCCTGTAGAAGTACATACTTAAATTTTCAGCTCTCTACAAGCTTTAGTTCTCGAGAAATGCCGAATATAGCTTTCCCTAGTTAGGTGGTCCAAGCTGAGATTCAAATTTCTCGAGAACTAAAGCTTGTAGAGAGCTGAAAATTTAAGTATGTACTTCTACAGGCTTGTGGTGTACAACTACCTATGTGGGGATGGCTCAGCATCACTTCGGCAAATGCAGGAAAATTTCCGTTTTCTTGGTTTCTAACAGAGAAAAAAATACGGCAAAAGCGAATATAGATGTGTTATATGGATAGTGTTTACGTGAGCAACTAGGAATTTTTGTAGGATTTTTATGAACTGAGTTACGAGTTTTTTCGATTTTTCGGGCTGCTGAGTCTTTTTAGTTTTTGGCTCGAAACTCGAGGTGTGTAAGAGCTGTTGCAAAAGCAAGACGGCCTTTTTGTAGAGCTTGCTTTGTTCTATCGAATGGTACCTTGCAACCTAACTAAAAATCAGAAATGTATGACTTATTGCGGTTGAAATTTAAAACGGGCATTAATTTCCGGACAACCTAATACTTGGAACCTGGACATTCTGTGGTACTGATTTTTTGCGGGTAGAGGTGGACTCACCAGAATTTGCCACTACTAGCAGTGACTGTTCGTGTCGCGAGAGTATTGCGTCACGTCGACAGCCAGCTAGTCTACTCTCTCCTCAATCTCCTCGTTCTCTGCGACGGCCCGCGTATGCAGCGCTAAACCTTGCGCTGCGCGCGAGCAAATTCAGCCGACGGTTCGGCCTGATCCCGATCGGGGCAGACTTTCTGCCTCGATCGCGATTGGGCTGAATTTGTATGCAATCAGTCAGCTACGCATTAGCTCCAGTTAAATATCATTGTCAGGCTTGTTATTAATAGGCTGCGGAGAAGAATGTAGGATGCCTCGAGAGCTTTTCTTGAAGATATATGATGTTCGCAGGTTGAAATTTGCACTCAACCTTTTCGAACCTAGTGGTGGCAAATGCCACCATCATTTCAGAAAGCTTACTACCATGGATCGTTTCATATAGCCTTTGTCTCTCAAATATAGTTTTGAAACCGCGTGTTCATTTTCTTGCTGTCAGCAACACAAAAATTTCTGTATACAGGTGAGTTGCAATCAATTGATAACTTACCCCGGTTTCAGACCGTGTCAATAACCTCTCGTTCATTTCTCAGGAAATAGTCACGATGTTATCAAAAACTTTGTACATTGTGGTGCAAGTGCAACTGCTAACTGTTCGCAGTCCCACATGTCTTTTAGAAGATTTGAAAATCAAAAGTAAAGGCAAGACCAAAAAATCGAAAATTCAAAAGAAGTAGTCTGCATGGTTGAAAAGACTCCAAACTCCGCTGTAATAATGTTATTTATATGGTAGGAGTGAGAAACAAGAAGAGAGAGGCTTCTGTGCCCATTCGGAAAAAACTCGGGTCCGAAATGGTCATTGTTGAATTCCTTACCGCTATGATCTACCTTTCTGTGCTTTCTTAACGTAGTTCTTGTGACGCAACATCTTTGTTTGTAGCTACGCTCGTGTCAAATATTGTCTTATTGCAGTACTGTTTTCTGAATTAAAAGATAGGCATAGAGCTGTTCTAATCGCGTTCTATTCACTCGCCTTTGCCGATGCTTACTTTGTTCGTATCGCATGTAATAATTCATTGCTTCGTATCGCACATAATAACCCATTTGCAATCCTTACCCGGTTGCCACTTCTGTGACTCCTTTTTTTTCTTCTTCCCAATGCTGATGCCTATTGCCGTTTTGATCATTTGAATGATAGCGCATTTAAGGGTGCACGGATTGTGCTCGCAGAAAAGTTGTTGCTCTCTTTTTGGTACCATTTGACCTGCATCTTCTCGTTCACCATCTCAGCTGCGTGTTCAAGAATGGTAGTCAAACGTTGCACAGTTCTTCTTGCGTGAAGTTCAAATCACAAGATTTGATACTTTGAGGCATTCGTCCATTTGAACGGCGTAAGAACGAATAACAATCGTCGATATAACGACAGTACATAAGCGGGTTCTCGATAGCACAGGCTGTTCCTGCTTTAAAGGATTTGCCAAGACGGGTGCTAATCGTTGGCCATTGTCAAACCTCTAAGTTAATGGTAGCGTCCCGACCACTTCAAAATATTGCATCACAAGCATTACTTGATGAGCGTTATGAGCGTGCTTTGTTGAGAGTGTATGTTGTCATAGTTTTACCACGTAATTTTAGCAACTCAAAAAGCGCCTGCAATGCGCTTCATTGGATACATTGGTTTACAATGAAGTAACGTCAAACGGCTTCTATGCGCAACTTTGACCAAAAGTTGTCTGCCGCAGCTCAAGGAAATGATTAGTGTTAGTCAATTGAGCGACTATTTCGCTAAAGTTGGCTCATGATTTTATTGGTGACCCAACTATGCGTGAAATGATCTACAAAAGCTGGAGGCTGTTCGAAGTCTGTTGCTGTGTATCAACTGGAATACTCAGCATGCTCTGCCACTGGTGAGACAAGTGGACCGCTGTGCGTGCGCGTAGACGAATTTGGTACCAAAATACGACAAAGCGTGATAATCTCTCTAAGCAGCATAGAAAGGTAACATAGCGGTAATGAATCCCACATTGAGTGCCATCTTGGCCTACGAAAGTCATATATCCGCGGGGAAGGCCCTCAAGGAATCATACATTCTTGTCCGTAATCCCAATAACAAGAACAAGAATGAATTATCATCTATAACCAAAGATCTGGCGCGGTATCTGACATTTTACAGACTAAAGCAGCCCATTGATCTCACAACTGCTTATCTCAAGCACATCACGACTGCATATTTTCAACACCGCAGTAAGTTGCAGCACATCTGGACCAATTGACATAGCTAGTAACGGTGGCATACTCTGAACGAATCCATCTCTACTCGCAAACTCCATGCCAATCAGGAGCAGTCGACCGCTTTAGTAGGGGGAGATTGGCGATAAGCTCCTGTATCAAAGTGACTGAGTCCTTAACCCACCGAAGACGGCATTGCGCCCATACGTTAGGTAAATAATTGTCATCGATAATACTGTAAAGCAAACGAAAAGAACGAAGTCATTAGAAGTGCTCAAATTGGCCAATGTTAAAATATCAGAGCAGTGCATTGAGACTTTTTGCCGAACATACAACAGCACAGCACTATTTAAGTGAAGGACAGTGACGATTGATTTTATCAAAATCTAAAGTTGTTTGCTCGAAAAATGTTCATAACTTAGGTACCGAGGTGAACACCAGATATAGTAGCTAGATTTGAAATAAGCGTTCAGTACTTTACAAAATAATGCAATTAACAGTAGATTATTGCTTATAAATCTTAAAATTCATTTTGGAAAGATTCCTTTTCACAAACTTCTAACAGAATAAGCTCTTTTTACCTGAGACGGCTGCTCCCTTGACGCATAGTCCACCGGAACAGAAAGAATTAGGGTGAGTTGTGCACTGTGAGTGATTTGTGCAGGCAGATCCCGTTTCCCACAATCGCTGATTATCTACGTACGCGCTAAGTAACAAAGAATTTTTGAAAAGAGATTTTTTTCAAATATACACTGACATCGCATTATAGAGGCAAGTAACACTTATGTAGGTAGCGTAGTCAGTACGACAAGTTTGATGAGCGCATCCAATTTTTGTCGTTTCGGAAAAAACCATCTAAAATAATTAGTCTGAAATCAGAGTAAGAAGAGAAGTCTGTCAGCTCCTTACATTTGCAAAGTTGTAAAGTAAGTCAGTGTATCTATTCTCTGGGTCGGTGACGCCAAACATCACTGCTGCGTCCCACCATCGGCTCAAGGTACTTTTGATGTTAGCGCCCACGTCAATCGCTACATTACCTTGATACCTGCGAATTCTTATGAGTAAGAGAATACACATTATACGCGGCTTGTGGAACGTAAGTTAGTACACTGAAACTATGCGTCAAGCCTGAGATTGCAGACGTTTCGCAAACAAACAGGCTTCTCTATGCGCTAATGCACTTGTATTCTTATGCGGAACTTTCGCGGTAGACTGCTCGGCGTAGGCTAGAGGAGCGGATACGTCAATTAGGCCCCGCTCCGCGGACTGGTGGCCCTTTTGCTTCGCTCTCCTACACCGTGTAAGAACCAGTAATCAATGGAGAGTTGTTGATTGAGGTAATTCCTCTCAAACCCTCGACGTGCAAGTGCCAGTACTTGATACATCAATTTCTCTTAGGGACTATGGGTACCAACCATATCATTGTACCTATGTTTGTCGGCAACTTACTGATCGTATGCATCTTGCGATGTAGGCTAACGCACCTGACATAAAGCCTTTCATCCCTTTTTTGATTTGCCAGTTGTGGTCCGAAGAGAATAAGGAGACACAGACTCGAGTGTCTATACCATATGATATGGTGTTAAGACGATACAGTACATGGACACTTGCAAAGCGGACTTCTACCATTTTAATTTTTGCCTACTCTGGATTGAAACGAACACTACGCTGTTTTCTCGGCGTACGCACGAAATCCAACCGAACTCTAGGGCCGTAGTAAAGCTCGGTTAGGAGAGATAATCTCCCCTTACGTCTTCATGTGAGGTCCCGTCAGTAAAATGACGACCGCCGCCCACTCCCCCATACTATAGAGCCGAAACGTCACCTAAGGGGTGAGCTTCAAGTGAAGATCGAGGGGGGGGGGGAGGTGCAGGAGGAAAACCAAAGGGCTGCCCCCTGTATCCGCAAGAGATGATCAAGAGCACAAGCGCCGTGGAGAATATTTTGGCAATGATTCAAGAAAACTTGGCAAAGACATCCTTTATGAGCAAATCTCCATAACTTTGCCTGGAAATGAATTTGAAAAAGTTAAGAAGCAGATTTGCAATGCAAATTGAAAGCATTCACGGGCCTAAAATAAGTGAAAACTGGAATCGCAATGGTAAGAAAAGTGAACTCAACAAAAACTTTTTCTTTCATGATTTTTGAGATTTCAAATTGTTGGAGACCGGGATTTTCATTGAAAATTCATTTTTCTTCAAGATAAAGAGATAGCTTTTTTAGAAATAGTCTAGTCTTTTTAAGTCAATGAACCAAAGCAATCAAAATGTCTTAAAAACACATCTGGAGTCTTGTCTCAGATGCAATATGCAGTTTGCCTCATAACTTCAAACCTATTCTAATTTAAATTTTGACACTAGAGATTTCATACGCCATTAAAAAAATTAAAGGTAATCCTTACGAGGCTGTGCATAATACAAAAGTTCACGGCATGCAACTTATTGTTAGTAACATTTTTTTCTGATTAACACTCTCTACTTGCAACTTCGAGTCCAGAATTTTCACCAAAAAATTCACTTAAAATTTTTCACACAACATTAAACCTGAAATTACCTCAGCTTTGAATGGTGAAATGGCATACTACAAAAAATGTGCATTTCAATACTGATTCCAAATCTGTTTTTCGTATCCATGGAAGTTAATTTCAAGAAAAATTATAAGTGTTTGTTTCTAATGGCCCTTATATCCAAATTATCTCTTATAGCTACATGCGGCAAGCCTTTGGTCCCTTCTGCACCGCATCCAAAGTTCGGCAGAGAGATGATCTCCTTGCCGGGTCATGGAGGATGATATAAGCGATGATTTCAGAAATACTGTGTTGAAGAAGAAACCCAGAGAAAATTTTTGTAAGTTGCTCCTGAGTAACTTAAAATACACCTTAAGACACCTAATAATGCAGAAGAGAGTGCGCGAAATTGGACAAATTCGGGGGATCCGCGGAGGAAAAGAATCAATGAATGTACGCAGGCAGTAAACGGGAAAATAAGTTTTTTTATCTTTTTTTGCGGACTTGCCTATTTTTTGAATACTGCGAAGAATAAATATTTATTTGCTTTCTCGTTGTCTTTCTGTTCAAAAGTTTTTTTTTGAATGTAAGTTTGCGCTAACGTACCATAAAATTGCTTTCTCTATCCATTTGCTAAGCGAATCTCTTGATCGCGGTTATCATCGATTTTTTTGTTAGTGACCCCTATCAATGATTGCGCGCTGATGCAGCGAAAAAGACTCCGCTAACCGATCTAAAACCTTGACCGTCTACTTGCATCACAACCTCTATCCGTTCGACCATACCCACACAAACATCGTTGCTGTTTCTTTCTTGAGAACGCGCGCTTTTGTCATGTCTGCAAAACTATCAGCACTCAGATCGATTGATTGCCGTATGCTGGACTGAGGCGCCGTAAGATCGACTCCGGTCCGCCTCAGGGGACATGCCCTGAAGAGAGTTTACTACGGGGATAATTGATTTCAGCGCATCAACGCTGTCACACATTCGTGCTTTTCTTTTTATATCCACCATCTTGAGTCAAGTCAGCATCCCAGGGTTGCTGCACAAGTCTCTGTTGTGAATTCTTATCTAGCGCTATAACCTGACTTTTTTGCCAGATACACTAAAGCGGTGCACGTTCCTCCTCTCACATATCCGATTCCACCGTTGAGAGAAATTTGACTTCAGTTTATACAGTTTGTCTCTACATCAACGCTACTAATGTGGAAAATTCTGTTGTAGTCGTTTTTAACTAACCAAAAGTTATGCATAGAATCCGTTGTAGAGCTTGCCTTCCGAAAGGCCGGCACATCTCACGTTTGACGCAGCATACAGGGTGCAAAAACTTGTTACTGTTTGATAGTTGCCTGTCATAAAGTCTCTAGAGAGGCTTTAAATACCATTTTGTAAATTCGGCTCCAACCTAGGCGGTATCGAGCATAGGTGCGACAGGGGGAGCAGGGTGCCCTCCAGGTGAAGGGGTTTCGGCTATCTCCAACTTACCATTTGATTCAACTGGTGGCATCGGCAAGGGCGGGGCTTCGTGACCTAATTAAGGCTAGGTAATAATCAGAGAGCACTCGCGCGAGAGAGACGCAGGTGCGTCGCGGGCGCGAGCGGCCTCAATTAGATCACAAAACCCCGCCCTAATGGTGCCAAGCCAGTTGAATCAAATGTTAGCAGGGAACGATACTTGGTGACCTCGGCCATTCATAATGGTTTGTATATCAATAAATGCGCCTTTTAATTCTGGTTCGAATACTGTTTTCCATATCTGCGAAACGAGAACCTGGATAGAGTTGTATTTTTTTTCAAAATGAATTGCGCTACTGCGGAGGGTGAAAATCATTGATAAAAATTTTGCTCTCCTCTTCAAATGCTATAAATGATTTCGATAGGTATAAATACAACGTTACATTTTTCAAGATTCTCCTCAATAGCTTTAAACGGTAAAATAGATCAAATTGGGTGATTTTGACTACCTAAAAGTGCGCAAATTTTCTACGAAAAAAAAATTCATAACTGCCTTCATATAATCGTTTCGCAGATTTCGAGCACAGATTTAAGATCAGCGTTTTGAGGTGTACCTTATGGTATACATCGCATTTCAAATGGCCGGGGTCACCAAGTATTCTTTCCTGTTTAGAGAGTGATGGGGTAACCGAGCCTTGGACTGAACGCAGACGTAAGCTTACATGCGAGACTGGGGATGAAAAGAAGGAGAAAAGTGGTGCGGAGGTTACGAAAAATTTCTCAATGTTTCGCTTAAAAGATGTTTAAAAGGGTGATAGGTCATTTGATGACACATAATCAATCGACCTATCACCCGAAAGCCTGGAACATATAGAGTTAATGTAGATCATCTCTTTCCTTCCAGCACTCCTGTAAATTCACATATAAGAAATTTTATCTAAGTGCAACACCAGCGAATTCTATGCGATAATTTGCTTTCCATTCTTGAAAAAAAAGAAAAGCTAGAAGAAAAAGGAGACGGCCTATGTTTACTGGCAAAATCTCGTTCTGCACCGCAGGTAGACAATCAGGCATCTTCATTCGTTTCTTGCGTGGTAAGTGCATTGCAAAAACATGCATGTTCCAGCTTAAATGTGGGTAGAGGGGGTTGGGAAAAAGAGACGGCCCAAGTGAGTTCCCGCTTTGTAAGCTTTCCAAGGGTGTATATATTGTTAGATAAAAACATTTAAAAAAATTTGTAATCTTTCAAAAATGGAGTGGAGATATTTACTATTAGCTTGCTTTACCCTGCCCCCTCAATGGCTCGGCCTTCATTCGCGGAGCAAAACTTTGGAGCGGGAATTTTATGTACCCACAGTTTATTAACCACTAGCTGACTTACCCGGCTCCGCCCGGCCCTGTCAAAACACTTTGATAAAATTCCATTCCTTCCCGTGTACAGCTTTTCCCTGTGCCCACTTCTTCATGCAATTCCCTATTCCCTTTGTGTTAGTAATCAGCATGCACACCTACCCAATCTCCCCCCCCCCCTGTGCCAACTCCCAGCCCCGTAGCTCAAACTTTGCGAAATCGATAAAAGACGAAAGTAATAGATATTTTCAAAACTAATATTGTATTCGTAATCAGCATGTTGATTACCCCCCTGTGCCAACCGCCCCGTAGCTCAAACTTTGCAAAAAAATCGATAAAATCGATAAATAATCAAAGCGATAAAATAATCAAATCGATATCGATCGATGACAAAGTGGCCTATGATACCCGCCCGCCACGCAAGTGTGTGTCTGCAAAGTTTTGTCAGGATCGGTTCAAAAATGGAATTTTCTATTCGGAACATACGTACAGACAGACATACAGACAAACAGACAAACATACAAACAGACATTCAACTATATATGTAAGGTTGATAGCTAAGAGCTCGAGGAATAAACGCAGACTGTCTCTTTTTTCTAGCTATTCTGCGAAGCGGGATGTGAGGAATTTTATTTAGCTACAATAACAGCTAAATTCATGAGTAAATGTATGCTTCATTTTCGAAATGGAAAAGGTGTTTTCAAAGCCAAGCCACTATACTTGGGTAATTCGAA